AGATTTGGAATTTGGAAGATTTGGAATTTGGAACATTTAGAATTTAGACCATTCGGAATTTGGAAATTTTGGAATTTGGAATCTTTGGAATTTGGAATCCTTGGAATTTGGAATCCTTGGAATTTGAAATCTTAGGAATTTGGAATCCTTGGAATTTGGAATCCTTGGAATTTGGAATCCTTGGAATTTGAAATCTTAGGAATTTGGAATCCTTGAAATTTGGAAATTTTTGAATCATCCTCCAAATTTATAATTTTAATAATCACCAAATCTGAAATCTTGGTACCTACATAATTCAATACCAAAGAAATTCGAAAATTTGAAAACCCAACGAAATTCTGAAATGTATTTAACGTCTGAATTGCTGAATTGACACTAATCACCCATTGGCGCATATAAACGCGCAGCATGGGCGCAATTGCCCATCACCGATCTAAAATATGCATCCATTTGTCACAAGCGGCTGTTACGCGGCTATAAATCTCTACCACACACATATACATCGATAATGCGTACATTCATTCTTCAATGTTATTTTTTTGTCTCGGTAAAAAATCACAAAATCATTTCGAACATATGCTCCTGCCAATATTGTATAAATCTGGGTCGTATGAAAAATCATATCACGTCGCGTATCGAACGTGCTCCACGGAAAAGAAGAACGATATTTCTCTCGATTATCCTTCGATCTGTTTTGATCATCCATCGCGTGCATCGAGATCGCGCGTTATTTACAAGTATAATAATTAAAAAAACACAAAGTCGCCCTTCAAAACCACGACAAAGAGTAGGTATTACAAGAGCCTCTGAAATTTTAGAATAATGCAATTTAAATTGCTATGTCAAATAAAACGTGGATTTCGTATTCTGAAAAACATAGCGTTCAAGTATGGCGGTCTTACCTGGAACGCTACTCACGATTTTTCTCCCACTTGCAACCACCTTACGAAAAAAAGTTTAGAACAATATTTGCAGGGTATGAAGTGCACAATATTAGTAAAGCAAATTTTGAAAACAGTTTGTTCTCTCGGCAAAGTCAAGGTCACCTTGTGTTTTTTAAATAGGAACATACATTTTTTTATTCGTAGCTTTAGAGGATATCGAGACGAATTCAAAACACATGTTACATGATATTTTTATTAACATATTACTCGATTTACAGAAGTGGAAATGTGAAGTAAAAGACCGGAATATTAAGTGATGGAAGGCGACATACATTTTGAACATGTAATTAAATAAAGTGTATTTTTCTTACATTCTAGTCGCGTGTTTACATTCAGTAATCTCTTCGGAATCAAATAATGGTTACACTACCAAAGTTAAAAGCTAAGTGATTCACATTTCCTCTTCTGTAAATCGAGTAATATGTTAATAAAAATATCATGTAACATGTGTTTTGAATTCCTCTTGATGTCCTCTAAAGCTATAAATAAAAAAAATGTATGCTCCTATTTAAAAAACCTAAGATAACCTTTGGTAGGCTCCGGATATCAGAGGTATCCGGAGTGTAGCTTGTTGTCACTCTTTGGAGATGCAGAAAGTGTGAACAGAATTATTAGAATTTTCTTGATACAATAATTTACAGTAACAACTGATCGAAATGTATTAAACAGAAAAACTACAAATAGTTTTCAACTTATTAGAAATTGACGTGAAATTAAATTTTTCCAATTTGAATTTCCCGCGCACTTACACAATTTAGAGGGATGCGTTGAATATCAAAGATAGTATCGCTTTTTGTTGTACCTACTCTTTGACCACGATGTCTCGTATCTGGAGCGAACACGAGGTTAACGTTTTATATACAGAGTCGTAGAAATTTGATCCACGATGAAACACACGCAAGGGACGGGAAATGCTTGGAAGGTTTCGAGCAAGCACAGCTTTCTATTTTACAGTGGAAACTGGGGAAATAGTGCACATCTAACTGTTTTATGCATATCTTTTTCATTCATTGCGTTTATTTGTCTAAAAACAATCTTCACTGTGGATAAAATTGATCTTCGAGAAAGTGATCTGAAAATCTTCCGCCATTTTGGTCTGAAACACTGGAATCTTGTATGGCGCGAAAATTCAAATCTATTCATATGAAAATGCAGTTTTATATTAAATTCACGAAATATCGAATTAAAAAAAACGAAAATTTATAGAATTATAAAATAGATTTTGTTATAGAATCAATTTTAATCTTGATTTCATTTATATTCGTTTTAATTTTCTTATTTTATATGCAGAATTTTTATAGTAAAATTTGAGGTACATATTTTTATTAAATTAATCTGATGCACTAAAATTTGTTACAGAAACAATTTCAATCCTATGCTAATTTCTATTTAATTTTAATTTTAATATTTATACACCTCACAATGAAACTCAAAATCTTCATCTAATGAATTCAATTAAATTCTATTAATTAATGAATCTTTTGAATTCAATTAATTCTATTAATGAATCTAACTAAATTTTTATTATGATATTATAACAATTACTCTAAACATGAAAATTGAATAACGAGAAATTCTAATAACAAAAATTGAATAACAAATAAAGTTTAATTTGCGCGAAATTCGAAATAGTCTGTGCACCATTGCCCCACAGTCCCCTAAATTTGACATGATCATCATTTAAATTAAAATATCCTCTGAAGGATTCGAGAATCCTTTGAACTCTTATTGTAATCGTCCTGTTATTATCACGTGTATCGTTGTTCCCATTGACCGAATGTCTCCATTGCAAGATCGCCGGAAGTGTAACGGATGAAACATCAAAATAACGTGTCCGATATCCGACGGGAACCCGAATTCGATCCTTCTTACCGCTTTGTGCCTTTCATGGAGGCAACGTTTCAATCCACCTGCATGTCCCTTATAGTTCGACAAAGGAACGCCGAAGTTATTATACCGAATGTCTGTAACATACGTGTGTAGCACATATCAGTAACATGTGTGTATATCAGATTCGAGGATATTCGAGATTTTCTGGATACGGTACCTGTATGCCTGCTATCGCCATTCCGAGAAATACTAGAGTGAAACTTTCGTATTGTAACCAGTTGGTGACTTTGCCGAGACAACCCTGTAAAAAATTTATTAAAAAAAATTGTTTAAATATTGAGGTATTGGATATGGAGGAACAGAGAAGAATAAAATATAATTACTAATTGTAGTATAATTATTAAATGAAATACAATTACTAAATGTAACAAAGTTAGAATTTAAAAATTGGAGAAATTTGCAAAATTTAAAAATGTTAGAAATTGGAGAAATTTACAAAATTTAAAAATGGTAGAAATTGGAGAAATTTGCAAAATTTAAAAATGTTAGAAATTGGAGAAATTTGCAAAATTTAAGTGTTAAAAATTTGAGAAATTTGCAAAATTTAAAAATGTTAGAAATTGGAGAAATTTGCAAAATTCAAAAATGGTAGAAATTTGAGAAATTTGCAAAATTTAAGTGTTAAAAATTTGAGAAATTTGCAAAATTTAAAAATGTTAGAAATTGGAGAAATTTGCAAAATTCAAAAATGGTAGAAATTTGAGAAATTTGCAAAATTTAAAAATGTAAGAAATTGGAGAAATTTGCAAAATTTAAGTGTTAAAAATTTGAGAAATTTGCAAAATTTAAAAATGGTAGAAATTTGAGAAATTTGCAAAATTTAAGTGTTAAAAATTTGAGAAATTTGCAAAATTTAAAAATGGTAGAAATTTGAGAAATTTGCAAAATTTAAGTGTTAAAAATTTGAGAAATTTGCAAAATTTAAAAATGTAAGAAAGTGGAGAAATTTGCAAAATTTAAAAATGTAAGAAATTGGAGAAATTTGCAAAATTTAAAAATGTAAGAAATTGGGGAAATTTGTAAAATTTTAAAACTTGAGAAATTTGCAAAATTAAAATTGGGCAACTTGATAATTTAATTTGGTAATTTTTCTACCGTAATTTCGTCTTTAACGGAATCACCTGTGAAATATTTCACTAACGAAATGAAAATGTACCTCTTTATGTCGAAATCCGTCGTGACCCTCTTCATCCTCTACTTGACACGCTGCTTCGTCCTTTGGTTTTGGATTTAACCACGGTTTCTCATCCTTTAACGGGATATTAAAATTTAATAACTATTTAAAAGGCACAAAACTGAACGTTTGATAAATCACTTACATGTTTGCGAAATACCCTTGTGACCACGCTCATTGGACTTCCTGTATTCTTCATCTGTAAAGTGATACGAGTACCATTTAATTAGAATTATTGTTATGCGTGGTGACTATGGTGGCAATTAAATTTAAAGCTTGTAACCTTTTAGGTTTCAAAACATCCCTTTTTTTAAATTTAAAAATTTTCATATCTTGATATAATAATTTGCTGATATCTGAATTATAAAATTTCTCAATTTTCAAATTATCAAGTAGCTAAATTCCCAAACCTCAAATTTCCAAATTTTTAAATTTTCAAGGCCCTAAATTCTCAAAACCCCAAATTTACAAATTTCCAATCCCTCAAATTTCCCAAAATTCAAAATTTTCATCTTTTCAAATCCCCAAATCTCCAACATTTGCAACCCTAAATTCTCTCAATAAAATATTTTTCCATATTTTTAACGACCGTTAAAACGTATATACGTAACAGTAGATTTGTAACAAAGAACACAATGAAATTGTTTTCATAATTTTAATGAAAGGACGCAGTTTTATTCTTAGTCCATTTTTCATAGCTTTTCAATCTCTCAAGCTCTCATGCAGAATCAGTCATCCATATTTTTCATTATATTAGGTGCTCGTTTCGCTTCCGCCAACTTTTTCATGATTTAATATTTTTTCAGCGAATTTAATATTACTGGAAAATCCAAGGTAAAACGAAGCTTTCAAACATCTCACATTCTATGCTAACTCTTTTATATTTGCAAAAGTCAACTTCATGCGTAAAGTTTTGGTACAGTAACTTCATAATAACTACACGTACATATAAATATTTATATTATCACACAGAATCCGTATGTACCTTCAAAATAATGTAAAATTCCATCTTCACCACTCACTCACGTACACATACGTACAGGTCAAACCATGCTAAATACGACTTTCTGTCAGATAATCAAACTTCCCTAAAATGAGTCAAAACCCACTGAAAAATTGTCAAAAGTCCCGGAAGGTGACTAACGGAGAGTCTGAGGGTGGCGAGCCCACAGCAAGCAAAAGTGTCTCCATCATATTGTCCGTACGAATAACAATAAATGTCCTAGCACAACTAATAAACATTGTCCCACTAAACTAAACTTGCTCAAAGGGTTAATTGTTAATAACCGGTAAGATGATTCTGGTACCCGCGAAACGTTTCATCAGCATCAGATCCACGTCGACGTTCATAGTGAACGGAGATTAATAGCGGACATTAGACGTACACGTGGGTGTTCGTCAAACGAACGGTTTTCTACAACGTGGATACTAGAAGCAGCTTCTCTCGCATGTAACAAGTGCTCGTGCAGTGACATAGGCACGAGTACCGGTGCCCGTTGCACCGAAACCGGTCAGTAACTTGCTCAGATTTCACCGGAGATAAAAAGTTTGTACAAATCGTCGAACGGCGCTCGATTATTTTCATTTGCGGACGTTTACGATTATCGGTATTTTCCTCGTACCGATATAATACCGTATGCGCGTGTAACAGTTCATTTACAGGACATGGAAATTGCGAGTTAAAACGACGAAATTAATCGCTTATAATGACGGAGGGACAATTTCAGTGCGTTAGGAAATGGCGGAGACTTATGGAAAGATAATAGTGAATCCCTGGACTAAATTAAAATTGTTATGCATTATAAATATTGTATAATTTGAACCCTCTGAAGAGGAGTATTAATGGGAAATATGGAGATTCTTTTTTGGTGGACTTTTATTATTTGATAATGTAAAACAATTTGAGGAAATTTCTAAGTTGCAGAGTCGGTATTAAAGAAATTTTTCGGAAATTTTCTTTTGTAAATTCTAGTGGTGATTTGTCTAATGATTGATAGTAATGGGAGTCTTCAGTTGTGACACTGAAATTATAAAAACTTGCGATGTGAAGGTTTGAAAATGCGAATACTCTCTTTAAAACTACCCTCCCCTAAATAAAACTGGAACAATCAGCATTCACAAATAATGAAAGCGTTCATAAATACAGAGAAAGTATAAGCGTATAAATATAATAATACGGTTTTTGAAAAGCGTACCTCAGTATTTTTCAACACGCAGCACGTGAGAGGGACCTGTCTTCTCTTCCCCGAAATTTGCCCGTCTCTCCACCAGGCCGTGCCATTGTAATCCTCGTAGCCATGTATTCCACAGCAATTAAACTAGAATGGAATCACTTGTATGCTCATCGAACCATTACAATACGTTCACGGACTACGTTGCTGACATTGCACGTCATTCGTGCGTGATGTAAAATTTCCATTATACCGTTTTCGCCGTCATTCGTTACGGGAATGATTGTACGAATTTTCGGTCTTGCGGACTTCAAATAATCTTGCTAGTTTCGAATAATCTGTTCATCCGTATTTCGAATAGAATCAAATTATTTATGGATGATCAATTCGAGGGTTTAGTCACACAAGGTTAACTCTTTAAGTCTGAACAGTAGTTGGAGACAACGAAAGATTAGTTAAAGATTCTCAATTTCACAAAATTAAAATGTTTTCAGAAACTTTAAAATTATTAATTTTTTCGTGATAAGATTCTTTTAGTAACGTGCCACTTTTGTCATAGTAAATCGTTATAAGTAACGCTCACTCGAAAAGTGACATCACTCAATTTAATATAACTTGTAATAAATATATTTTACTTAAATTTACAGTGTTACATCTATAGTATTATATCGTATTATATAAACAGAATGGAACAGTAAAAATTAATAATAAAGAAATCCTAAAAGAATTCACCAAACTTTTCAAACTAAAAAATGTTAAGGTCAACATTCTACACCAGCAAAAATACCTTCGTGTGCCAAGGCTAATATATTAACACGAAGTACATATTAACGCGGTCAAGCACATCATGCATATTATTAGACCGCGATAAACATGAACATCGAAAATAAATAATCGATTACTATTAACGTGGGTCAGTACCTTATATTGCGCGAAGTCGAGACTATGGCTAAAGGAGAGGTCACTGGTGTGTTCGTGGCCATAGTCATTGGCCAATTTGTCGATTAAACGCTTCTCCAATCCGGAAAGTGTCCGGAATGTTATTAATCCGCTGACTATCGCGGTTACTAGCTCGATGATGATCAACACCGCCAGCATACTCATGTACTGCACAGATAAAAATACGTTGTTAACCTTGACCGTGTGGTCTATTTCAGTGATGGGCGGATTAAGTGCGGAGGTGTTTATGGGCATACGTGTGCTTGATGGGCGCCCGATCAGGGATTTGTATTTTTACAATTTTAATGGAGATAGTTTTGATCTGTGGATTTATAAATTCTTTAGTTTACTATTTTGGGGTTTGTAGATTTATGTAGCTTTGGAGGAGTTTGGAAATTTTTTAATTTTGAAACTTGAAGGTGGAGAAATTTTTAGATTTTCAGCTTGAGAAATTTTGGAACCCTCAGCTTGAGAAGTTTTGAGACTCTCAGGTTGAGAAATTTTGAAACTTTCAACTTGAGAAATTTTTAGATTTTCAGCTTGAGAAATTTTGGAACCCTCAGCTTGAGAAGGTTTGAGACTCTCGGGTTGAGAAATTTTGAAACTTTCAACTTGAGAAATTTTTAGATTTTAAGATTGAGAAATTTGAAAGCTTTCAACTTGAGAAACTTTGAAACTTTCAGCTTGAGAAGTTTTGAGACTCTCAGGTTGAGAAATTTTGAAACTTTCAACTTGAGAAATTTTTGGACTTTAAGCTTGAGAAATTTAAAAACTTTCAACTTGAGAAACTTTGAAACTTTCAGCTTGAGAAATTTTGGGACCCTCAGCTTGAGAAATTTTGAGACTCTCAGGTTGAGAAATTTTGAATCTTTCAACTTGAGAAATTTCTAGACTTTCAGCTTGAGAAATTTAAAAGCTTTCAACTTGAGAAATTTTGAAACTTTCAGCTTGAGAAATTGTGGGACCCTCAGCTTGAGAGGTTTTGAAACTCTCAGGTTGAGAAATTTTGAAACTTTCAGCTTGAGAAATTGTGGGACCTTCAGCTTGAGAGGTTTTGAAACTCTCAGGTTGAGAAATTTTGAAACTTTCAACTTGAGAAATTTTTAGACTTTCAGCTTGAGAAATGTAAAAGCTTTCAACTTGAGAAACTTTGAAACTTTCAGCTTGAGAAAATTTGAAACATTCACCTTGAGAAATTTATAAATTCTCAAATTCAGAACTTCGAAAACTTCAAGACCCTCAAGTGTCCAAATCGACAGAAGTTATTAAAAAATTAAAAATTTCAAATATGAGAAATTCAAGAACTTAGAAGTGCAAAAATATTCAAACAAGAAAACCTCTTTCTACATTGCCAATTTATAAAATCCATCTCCCTAAGGATTATAGCGAAATTTTATATATCCTTCTCCCTATAACCTCCCCATAATCCAATCATATAACTAGAGTGTACTTATATGTATGTTATGTACTTATATTAGTGTACGTCCATCGCACCCTTGAGCATAATAGTCCATCACTGAGCAAAAGTACATTAAACTCATAAATCTCGTAAAAGCGATCAACAACTTACGGTACACAGGATGCATTGATTTCCGTGCAAAGCAACTCGACATCCGAAGAAACCGACTGAGAGCACCGTGAAGCCGAGACCGAGCAAAGTGAACGCTATTAGATTAATAGCGCCATTTGCTGTCGTGTCATCTACGTAAAGGTTTAAGAGATGTCCTCTGCTTGGTTCCAGCAGCAGCCATGCTCCAATCACGAGTACTGTACATCCGCCCAACTATTTGACAAATACCTTTGTACTGCTTATTTATTTTACGTAAATTATTGAAGTGATGTGAAGGGAAATTGAAGGGAAGTTTGTCTGAGGACTCTGTTCTGTGAAGTCTGGTGACATAGGACTGTTTTTTGGGAGCTCAGGAAAATTGATACGCTTCGGGAATTATTTTGTTTTGCTCAGAAGAGAAGTTTCCAAAAATGTGCAAAATTGGATTTTGTGATTTTAGGAGTTTTAGACCAAAGAGAAATATTTAGTCATACTTTTCTTCTGACTATATTCCTTATTTCTTTATTCTTACAATTAGATATTCTTTGGAATATATTTAAGTCATGTAATATATTTAATTGTATGTCGTATAGAGTCAGATTTTGTTTTAAAGACTTTTTCAAAAATGTTTCTCTATGCCTTCGTTGGTTATGAAGTTCTAAAAGCTCTTTAAGTTTGAAGTTTATTTATGTATTTAGTAATTGATACTTTACCCATATTATTAAGTTGAAGGTGAACAGCGCGACTTTCAAGTATTTCATGCCGATAGGTTTCAAGACATCAAATAGTCATCAATCTGCGAACACAACGTTGCTAACACTTTAACGTATACGCAAACATCGTCAGAGGCCAACAATATTTTTGAAGAATTAATATAAAAAAACTTTATGTAAATTCACGAAATAGTTAAACGTCTGAAAACAACAATTACGACACATTTAATATTTTCCTTTGTGTGATAATTATTAAAGCCACCTACGTTCATCAATCATCACATGTGTATGGCCATTGAAGGCTTCAATGTACTGCTATTAAAGTAATCGTATTAAAAGCTGGTATCAAAATAATTCCATTAAAAACATGAAACACTTCATTAAAAGATTTCAATAAAAATACAAACTAGCCCTTTAATTGTGGGTTAATTTAATTTAATCTTGATGCAATTTAAATTTGACCTTATTACTGAATTGATATTCTATTCTGAAAAACTTTTTTTAATTATTTTACAATATTTTTAGTGGTATATAAACCACAGCTGTTATTAGATATTAAAAAAAGCTTACTATAACTAATTTATTAGTTAACAACTGTAGCTATTATTATACACTTCATTATAATTTTATAACGAGGTTTATAACACCAGCAGTTAAAAGTTCAATAATGAACTACTTTATTTTATTTTGTATTCAGCATAAATGCAAAAAGTTCAAATACTTTTAACAATGGTTCAGTGTCACCTGATATAACCCCACTGGATACTTATTTGTAAAAAACTTTGAGAACAAAAGTTCCGAACAAGAATGCATAACAGGAATTCATTGCGAGTGCTTCAAGTTTTAATGCATTCACTGAAATGGAAGAATATCAGCAGGAAGTTTTTTATGTAACTAGTTAGAAGTTAATATGCATGTTGCAATTATAGTTTTATCTTTTGTCGCATAAAATTAAAGTTTATATTTTTTATAAATTATATATTGTTGTATTGTTATAGAAGAAACTGAGAAGAATGAGATATAAACAAAATTAAGTATTTTAATCATTTTTATGGCAAATTTAAAACCTTAATTATTAGGACTGAGGTTAGGAAATTTTCTAAAAATTCTAAGAATTAAATTGCCTACATTTATATTTGCAATGCAAGATTAATAAAATTCAAGATATTTTTCAAATTTCATAATACAGAGTTCATTAGTATTTTTATATAATAATTTTCTTATTTTTATTCATATGATGTTCGGACGCCATTTTGTAGAAAAAACGCGGTATTTACAAAATTGTTCAACCTTTGCTTACAATTTTACAATTTTTACAAAGTGAATTCTTTATGAATTCATTGTTTCTTTAGATTATTTCACCAATTTTTATGCTATAATTTTATTAATAGAATTACTGCTACAATAGTTATATCTAATTGAATTTATTGCTGTATATTCAACTTTAAAATTAAAAGATTTTTTTTTATGTTCTTTTAATACAACAAATTTTGCAGAACAATTTCATGACTTTATTTATAAAATTTATGAACAAAAAATTTGAATGTTATACATATAAACTTATATGCATAAGTAAAAAACAAAGTTAATATAACTTATATTAACTTTGTTATAAATTATAAAGAATATGCATCTCCATAAATTTTATATAACAAATACGTTTTTATCCAAATACAAATTTTCAGCTCCCATTAACATTTAGCACAAAACAAACACCAAAAAAAGAACCACGATCTAAGCAAACAAAACTCCCCAACAACACCGTCGTTATATCACTTCCACGAAACACTAGCAAAAAATCGATTCGAATTTATTCCCGAGTGAAAAACCTCGCGAACTTTTTCCACGTCTAATATAAAGTTTCCGCGATACATTGCAGACGCCATGTTTTCAATATTTCGGTAGAAACATGCTTCACGCATATCGTATTTCTCTTCCCCGATATTAACGCCTGCACCTATTCCACCATCGCAATAAAAATTCACCGAAAGCTTAATTAAAATTGCCAACACCAACTGTTGCGAATCATCGTCAAAAATGGCGTGTGAAATAAAAATTTACAAGTACAGAAATTTGGAGGTTAAAAAATTCAGAGGTAAAAAATTCAAAGGTTAGAAAATTCAGAGGTTAGAAAATTCAGAGGTTAGGACTTTCAAAGGTTAGAAAATTCAGAGGTTAGGAATTTCAAAGGTTAGAAAATTCTAAGGTTAGTAATTTCAAAGGTTAGAAAATTCAGAGGTTAGGAATTTCAAAGGTTAGAAAATTCAAAGGTTAGTAATTCCAAAGGTTAGAAAATTCAAAGGTTAGGAATTTCAAAGGTTAGACAATTCAGAGGTTAGGAATTTCAAAGGTTAGAAAATTTAGGGGTTAGGAATTTAAAAGGTTAGACAATTCAGAGATTAGAAACTTCAGAGGTTAGGAACTTCAAAGTTTAAAAACTTCAGAGGTTAGTAATTTTAAAGGTTAGAAAATTCAAATGTTAGGAATTTCAAGGGTTAGAAAATTCAGGGGTTAGGAATTTAAAAGGTTAAACAATTCAGGGGTTAGGAATTTAAAAGGTTAGACAATTCAGAGGTTAGAAACTTCAGAGGTTAGTAATTTCAAAGGTTAGAAAATTCAGGGGTTAGGTATTTCAAAGGTTAGAAACTTCAGAGGTTAGGAATTTCAAAGGTTAGAAACTTCAGAGGTTAGTAATTTCAAAGGTTAGAAAATTCAGGGGTTAGGAATTTCAAAGGTTAGAAAATTCAGAGGTAAAAAATTCAGAGGTAAGAAAATTCAGAGGTAAAAAATTCAGAGGTTAGAAAATTCAGAGATACAAAAATTCAGAGGTTGTAAAACAGGAAGAAGTAATAAAATTTGCGTAATAAAATCTGCGTAAATCGACTCCGAAAAATTTGTCTCATGAAACCGCGAGCCGCCATCTTGAGCGGATTAACCAATAATAATCGAACGCGATCGACGCGTCACCGGAAAAATATAAACTGGATTTTGTAAGTTCCGTTCTAGCAAAGAAGAGATTAACTCATTTAGGTCAGATGATAGAGCTAAGCCGGATAAAGAGAAAGCCTTTAAAATCCTGGGTTCCACTCTTGGGATGCAATTATAACTGCAAAGGTGGCCCGATGTGTGCTTTCAAAGGGTTCAGAAATTGTCGCGAACCAGATATTCCCGTGACACATTAATTCCCGTACCCGGATACCTCTCTGTTTAATATCAATTAATGCATTAACTATGTTAAAACACCATTAGATCCACTTGGGATCAAAGGTCGGATGAAATTGTCGGAGCAATGGCCGCTTGATGTATGCCCGCGTTAATAACGCGCGACAATGACAGAACCGCGCAGTTTCACGATAACGGACACAATTTGTTAATTAATTTCAGCAACTGGCTACGAAATTCCTTTTAAACTTTCGCGATAGGTGTTTCGGTTTGATGTAATCAGTTGAAATACATATTTTTTAAGTGGTTTGTTGAGGCACTTTGGTTAGGAACTCGAATTTTTAATTGGCAGTTCAGTTATAATTTTGACGATTTCATAATACTGAATTGATGTAACATTTTGGTTTTCTTTGACTGTTTTAATGTTGTAGGAATTAGTGACGCACTTGATAAGTCATAGTGCAAGGAGCTAAATAAATTTCATTATATGTATGAACATAGTAGACGATTATAATTTTTATATTTTCAGATTTCTATGTTCCTAAATCTACACATTTAAATTACAATATTTCTTAATTTTTATAATTTCAAGTTTCTATATTTTTTAGTAGTAGCAGTTAATAATAGAGAAAATATCTTTAAAAAATTCAGCAAACTTTTTAATTAAAAAGTTTTAAGGATATCTGACAACAGCAAAAGTATCTTGGAGTGCAAAAAAATAAACTAATTTTTATATTTTCAGATTTCTATATTTTTAAATGTCTGCATCTTTAAATTACAATATTTCTTAATTTTTCTAAATTCAAGTTTCTGTAATTTTTCAATTTTTATATTCACAAGTTTCTACATTTCCAACCTATCATATTTTTAAATATTTGTTTCCCAATTAAATTAGTATAATTGTGTTATAGTGATTGAATTAAAAATTTGTATATTTGTATATTCATATTTAAATTCATTTTATTAAAATTTTATTTAAAATTATTTTATTCAAATTTTATTGAAATTCATTTTATTCAAATTTTATTGAAATTCATTTTGTTCAAATTTTATTGAAATTCATTTTATTCAAATTTTATTTAAATTTATTTTGTTTAAGTTTCATTGAAATTCATTTTGTTTAAATTTCATTGAAATTCATTTTATTCAAATTTTATTGAAATTCATTTGGTTCAAATTTTATTGAAATTCATTTTATTCAAATTTTATTCAAAATTATTTTTCAAATTTCTATATTTTATAAATTTTATATTTTGCAAGTTTAATAATAGTAAATCTCCACATCTCCCAACTTCTGCATCCCCAAATATTTGCATCTCCAAATTTCTATATTCCAGAATTTTAAACCATTTCGATAAAAAAGTTTTACTATCAATTCTCTAAATTTTACTCGGATTTTGTAGCGCGCTATCACAGTGACCTGTCCGTTCTAATTTAACAGTCGAACACGCAGCAAATTCATAAAATGGATTACTCTATTTTGCCGAATGGACCTCTTCGTATAAAATTTTGTAGAAACGTCAATAACTGCGCAGTTAGAGCACATGCAGAATAAATTCGAGTGTATTCACTGATCTTTTGCAGCTGCGTCTAAAAATGTTATATCATTCTCTTCGTTGTATTAATTAAAAATAACTGCGAACGTGACAAGAATTTCATTTCACGCATCCACTGCTTAAAAATTTAAATTTATTAAATGAAGTGTTTTACGTTTATGGTGATTCTTGTTAGAAAATGTCAACTCTACTATATTTATTATAAATAAAATAAAATTTGAAGAGAGTCTATTAAATAATTCATTAAAAAGAATCTATCTACGAAGTAAAATATGAAGTCTATTTATGAACTAACAGTCTGGATTCGTTAAATAAGTTTGTTTCGAAGGAAACCCACGTTCATTTTATGATTCCCTTGCTATTAATAAACCTACGCAAGGTATACCTTCTCACTGAATTAATTATAGAGATCTCACGAAAATTGTACCAATTACAAATAAAAACGTAATATCACAGAAATAATAATTGTGTAAAAATGTGATGATTAAGTGATGATGAAAATCTCACCAAATAAATTTGAATTTCATTTGAAACTTCACTTTATTTTTAATAAATATCAAGTCTACTGTATTGATTAAAAGTTAATAAAAACCTCAAGAAGGTTGTGTATATAATTTCAGATATCTATAAAATGAAAATCTAAATTTTTTTCAACCTAGTAAAGAAATCTGAATTTCAAGAGAAGCCCAACTATAATGCTAATTCCCTCCCTCATTAATTACAAAAAATAATTCTCGTAAAACTTCACATATCTACAAAAAATCTGGACTCCGAATAAAGGAATCTGAATTTCAAATACAACGCGCAATTTCCGAACCTCCTGTATTAATTACAGAAAATAATTCTCGCAAAGTCTAGCAACTTTATCCACAAAATAAAAGTCTAAAATAAAGAAATCTCCCATAAGGAATAAAAATAAAATCTAATTTCCAAACCTCCTTTTAACTAAAGAAAATGAAAAAAGGCACATAATTTCACCTAAGACATTCCCTAAATTCCCCGTCTCAAACGAGGCATTTTCCCTCGAATACCAAATCTTACCGCAAGAATCCAGCCAGGTACATTACCTCCAAACTACTCGAGAATGTTACTTGCCATATTACCCGAACGTCAGTTCTGTTGATCTAATGTAGTAACGTGCACAAGTATCCTCAGGTGGAATCTATAAATCCATTCACAGGTGGTTCACTGTCTTCCACGATCGTAAAAAAATAAACAATAAAACTTAACCGACTCGGTTCTCACGTGTCGCCTACTTTCGGGGGTCAGATCTCACCCCTGTTGAGCATCGGAGAGGATTAGAAGCGCGTACGATCGCGACGATACTGGCGAGGGTAAATGCTGGCAGGTCCGGTGTCATCCGCCTCGGGAGCGGCACACGCTCTCCTCTTCCCTCTTCCAGACTCGTCCTGCTCACATTCCGCCCTTACGTGCCCGGAGTCTGCCCCAGATGCGTCTGCGTCGCGACGTCACGGCGCCGACGCTCTCTCGTCCCCCTGGCTACTAGTCGATCCCTGTTCTCGTTAGTCTCTCCACTCGACCGGCATTCGTCCCGTCGATCACGGACGTCCTCTCTAACAACGGTGGTCAATTGACCAGGTTATGCACCGGTTCACGGGTTCGAGTGCTAATCACGCTGTGCGCATCCATAGGGATCTACCAGTTAAGCTCGAATTGGACGGGAAAGATGGTACACCCGCTGTGGACCCTTGTGCGGATGCTTGATGGGTGTAAGTCGTGCTCGTGTGCATTTTCTTCCATCGAAATTAGATTTCATCTCTGCTATTTTTGTAGGGATTCTATTATGGGGATCCCTATAGGGATTTTACTTGGGAAATTAAGTCTGAAACTTGAGAAATTTTTGTTATAGTAGGATGTAATAGTCGATGGTGCAAGGTTGTTGCTCTGAAGGATGATGGAATTATAAGTTGAACTCATAACACATTGAATTTAATATACTTTTGATGGTGCACGTTTGGGTGTAAGTCGTGCTCGTGTACATTTTCTTCACTCGAAGTTGGTTTAGAAGCTATGATTTGATCTCTGGAATTTTAGTAAGGAATATGAACTTCTACGTCATACATGGGATGTAGTTAAGTTCTGATTGAGACCTGAGAAATTTTTGTTACAGTAGAATGTAATAGTCTCTAGTATTACAAGTTATAAGTATAGCAAAGACGTTCCTTTCAAGGGTGTTGAAATTATAAGCTACTCTCATAAAACATTGACTGAATTTAATATAATTCTAATAGTACACTGGTGAGTGTAAGTCGTGCTCATGTACATTTTCTTCACTTGAAGTCAGTTTACAAGCTACGATTTGATCTCTGGAATTTTAGTAGGGAATATGAACTTCAACGTCACACATGGGGATGTGGTTAAGTCTGATTGAAACCTGAGAAATTTTTGTTACAGTAGAATGTGATACTCTCTAGTATTACAAGTTATAAGTATAGCAAAGATGTTCCTCTGAAGGGTGTTGAAATTATAAGCTGCTCTCATAAACACTGACTGAATTTAATATAATTCTAATAGTACACTGGTGAGTGTAAGTCGTGCTCATGTACATTTTCTTCACTCGAAGTCGGTTTAGAAGCTACAATTTGATCTCTGGAATTTTAGTAAGAAATATGAACTTCTACGTCATACATGGGATGTAGTTAAGTCTGATTGAGACCTGAGAAATTTTTGTTACAGTAGAATGTAACAGTCTCTAACATTACAAGTTATAAGTATAGCAAAGATGTTCCTCTGAAGGATATTGAAATTATAAGTTGCTCTCATAAAATGAATTTAACATAGCATTTACTGACTGAATTTAATATAATTCTGTCAGCACACTAACAAATGTAAGTCGTGCACATAAATATTTTCCTCACCCAAAATTTGAGTTCAAACTATTTTGCTGTCTATAGTTTCCACAACAGACAATATGAAATTCTACATCACTTGAATTGCACTCTCAAGTCCCTTTCCAAGAAATTTTTGCTTCATTAGAATGCAATGCTCGCCTGTACAATTTCATTTAATATCTCCCAGCTCCGAAGGATGTTGAGATTATAAGTTGGTCTCATAAAACACCGGCTGAATTTAATATGGTTATGATAATACCGGTGGTTGATGGGTGTAAGTGGTGCTCGTGCATTTTCTTCGCTCGAGATGCGATTTGAAGAGTCTCGATTTGGTCTCTCAAGTTTTATAGTAGGAATATGAGGATCTACGTCATACTGATATGAATTATAATTCAACTCGAAGAAATTTTTATTGTGCGAAATTAAAAATTTTTGTATGGTACAAAATATCTCCTATTCTATTCTCTAATATCTTCTGAAGTACTCTCAATTTACGGTATAAACGTTTTATACGTATAACGGAGTGAATTTCATACGATGGTTGATAAGTGTGCTCAATCTTCATAATTTTTGTAGTAGGGGAGAGGGTCTGGATTTACGTCACGCGAGATGAATTATAATAGCATTTAGTATGGTTTCATTTAATATCTTCAAGTTCTGAGTTATAGTATAAGTTCCTTTACAACAACTGAATTTGATACGTTCATGGTAATGCACAGAGTGTGAATTCTGTACGTGTACTTTATCTTGGGTCGAAATATACGTCCTAGTTTAACGAAACAGATTCCTGGAGTCTATTCACTTTGAGCTTCGTATTTCCTGCAGAAGTTCTTGTTATACAAAGATGAGTTATATTCTGAGAAATTTTAATTATGAACTATACATTGACATAGCTTCATTAACAATTCAAAAATACATATAATATATTGAAAAATTGAAACACATGACTTTTAATAGGGAATACTAAACAAATACAAAATTAGAAAATGTAAGGATTGAATTATTATTTAAATTCTTCAAATTATTTTAGACACTTGTCTAAGTATTAAATATGTAATAATTGACTTTGTTCAATATTCTAGAATTAAATAGCAACTGACTCTTTCCAAAGCTATCTAAAAATTCATTCTTTGTCCTACAATTATAAACAGTATTGTATAATAAATATTGTCTGTAATGAGATGTTCAGGTACATAAAACAACCACATAATTATGTAAATATAATAGATTTATTAGATATTAACAATTTTTACAGAATTCGTGTTTCGTTCACCTTAAACAACACGCAACTATGGATAAAAGATGTTAACGCTCTAGTCAACAAATTGGCGATACACAAAATATGTATACAAGCCCCGACGTAGTCTAATCTGTCGCAGAGTATCTCAGATGCACGCCACACGACTAGAGATTCAATCGATTAAAGTCTCGCAAAAATTTCTCTACATTGTTCTCCGTGTAACGCACCTTAATAAACAATTTAACAAGATCTCACACGTACACAAAGACGCATATAGATGTACGATGTCTCGCGGTTAAGTACATACAAAAAAGAGTCTCGAAACGTTTCCGAGACACGTAAAGCAATTATTCGAATCCGCAAAACGCATGCAAAATATTTCGAAAGTAATAATACGTCGTAAAAAGTCGACATAAAGTTCGTGAAATCACATTTGTTTCTTCGGGCACGGTAGCCAGCTGTCGCGAAGAAGACGAAAGAAATGAATAACTTCCGACAAAACAGGACGTAGAAAAAATTGAACATCTCCACACTGAACTATCGTATTTAACGTCTAACGATCGTTGAATATTCGTTAAAAAATAATATATGAGCAAACGCGCAGGTATAAATAGAAAGGTCTTAATATACAATGGTTTTACGGGTCTTTTGTGTAGGGTAATAAAAAAGAAGCTTAAGACAATTGAGGGGTGCAAAATATAATTAAGGTACAAGAATTTTTGATGGAAAAATTTATGTTACATTTGATGATGCTGTGAGATTTTAAACAAAATTGATTTAGAGGTTTGAGTCAAGTAAAATGTAGGATTCTTTTTGATAAAAATATGTGTAGAGACAAAAGTTTATATTGGTTCTTGAGTTTCAGAGAATATGTAAATTAGAAAATTAAAAAATTTCTAAACTTAGAGATTCTAAATTTCAAATACAAATTTTACATTTTAAATTTAAAGGCTAATATCTATATTTAAAAATTGTCTTTCTTGCACTGCAATGCACATTAATTTAAGTTTATACAACAACACTAGATTAATACTTGTTAATTAAAATTAAATTTCCATCACAATTTCAGATTTCTACATTCACCAATTTTTCAATCTAAAGATAGGAACTTTTCTGAAATTCCAAACCTTTGTATTAGAACAATAATGTACCTCTTTCCCTATATCACTATTTTCCTTATAAAAATCTTGCACTCCAATTAAATTATATTAATTCCATTTATATAAAATTATTCTTAACAAACAACAACTATCTTTCCATGTATCATTTTTACAAAAAACTAATTTCAGAATAAGCACACAACATTTTTCCCTCAATTGAACTACAATTTTCTAAACTCTTAAGCTTCTTTCCACCCTTACACTTATAAGTTCACGGGCCGTTCGCAATTCACGCAACACACACACACTCACACGCAAGTACATTTTATAAATCATATTGTTCTGTCGATTCTTACTGCTACATTGGACGGTAAGGTGACTCGCAATTCTTCAGCGAATTCACCGACGGAAACCACGTGTTACCGTTTACAGAAGCACGCGGAATCCACGCAAGGTCTAGCAATATCGTTTTTTATGGGTCACAAGCTATTGCACAGCAGAGATTCGATGTAAAATATTTGATTCGTTGCGACAATTCAATTGTAGATTTGTCACGCTGGACGTTACGCTTTTTTTTTTAATTTTTTTCCACTTTTTCTCTGTTGGAGAAATGCAGTGGCATTTGCTTTCAGTCGATGCGCTTATGGGACGATTTTTTTACAGGAGAGAATACAACTGACACATGCCAATTCGGATGATATACTGATTTATGGAACGTGGATAAATATTTGATATCTTTTCCTTCTTCTTTTTAATCGCCTGTCGTATGGATTGAGGGATGGTAAATGGTCGGATAGTAAAGAGCAATATTTGCAAAATATATTCAAAATTGAGTTAGGAAGAATTTTTAAATACTTGACAAATTTCTTTTTTTATAAAAACATTTTTAGGAACATTTTTTTATAAAATTGAAACTTCATTTTTCTTTGTGATTTTATGAAATTGCTTGTTTCTTTTCAATTTTATAAAATTGAAATTTCTTTGCTTTTTTTCAATTTTATAAAATTGACATTTCTTTCTTTTTCCAATTCTATGAAACTGAAATTTTTTGTTTCTTTTCAATTGTGCAAAATTGAAGTTTCTTTATGTTTTCTCAATTTTATAAAACTGAATTTCTTCCTTCATTCCAGTTTTCTAAAACTGAAACTTCTTTGCTTCTTTTCAATTTTATAATATTG